GCAAAAAGAAAAAAGCTGGAAGTGGCGCTATGGCTCAAGTGGTAGAGTGCTAGCCTTGAGCTAAAGAGCTGAGGGACAGCGCCCAGGCCCAGAGATCAGGCCCCACGACCGGAAAAAAAAAAAATAGAAATGACAAATATATATAAAAAACAATGGCATTTGCAGGGAAATGGATGGAGCTAGAAGAAGTCATGTTGAGCAAGGTAAGCCAAGAGCAAAGAGACAAATGGTACATGGTCTCCGTGATAAGTGGATGTTAAATCCAAAATGTTAGGTGATACGACAAAATTAACAGGACTTAAGAAACAAAGGACTTCCACTCATCTGGTCAAATCACTACTAAATAACCCCATGCTGCTGATTACATGTATGGTATATATGTGTACACCGGAGAGGAACCAGGAAGATGACACAGAACTAGAGGGAATCAGGGAAAAACATATAACAGCGGGACCCATCAGCTGCACTGGAGATTGACCAAAATGAACTAAGCAACTTAATGGCAACGATGGGAGGGAGGGAACAAGTGGGAAAGAGGGAACAGCTGATGCTATGCAAAACAAAAGAAATGTACATATCACCCGATGTGGAAGAAATAACTGTATCGCAAAGCTCATAGAACTCATAAATGTTATAGCCCGTGATAGACAATTTGCTCCAGGAAAGTTAGAATGTGTTTGTGACTTTAACTGAGCATCACTATCCCACAATACTGTGAAATTTGGGAAATTATGTAACCACTTAATCACAATTAAAAATTTGAAAAAAAAATTAAAAAATAAAATGGATGGAAATGATTAGACATGGGTGTTGGTGCAGGTACAGCTAGACTCCAGGACTCACCACACAGTCTGCATTCTGGGTCAGCCTCTTGAGCGTGAGGAGTGAGTTGTAGGGCTGGACCACCACATCACTCATCTCATCCTGATTGGGAAACACTGAGTATGTCTGTACCAGCTTCTTAGGGTATCTGGTTGGGGTTGGGAAAAAAAGAGGGCAATGATTGGAGATTTGGTGATTAAGCTTCCCAACTCTTCTGGGAGCTGCTCAATCTGAATGAGGTGATTTAAATGAAATGAAACTATAGAAAAGGAAGATCTGACTTGTGAATGTCTATAGCCTCAAACCAGGAAGGAATGAGATATACCATAGAATCTATGGTTCCAATTCCAAACATGGCCTTACTTCCTGGACCTTCATGGAAGGCCCAGATTCCAGGCTCTCATTTTAATCACTGAGAGTATCATTGGCTTTCTCCATTGTGACTTTACCTTCCTCACTATAGGAGGGAATACAAGCGCTCTTTTCCAATTCCAGTAAGTAGGAAGAAGGTATGTCAGCTAGGCCTTAGGAAACCAAGTTGAAGAGACTATGCCTCTTTCTGGGCTCCCAAACAGAGGCTTACCTGTCATTCAATCGCTCTAAGAGATAGGAGCCCAGGCCAGAGCCTGTCCCCCCAGCAATGGAGTGACACAGCACAAAGCCCTGCATAGGAAAAGGACAGTCAGTGTATGCGTAAATAATTTTTAAATTTAATTTTAGGTAATAATGGGATTAGCACTCAAGTCCTCTTGCTTGCTAGGCATGTTAAGTGGCAGGATTTTAAATAGACCCATACCACAATTTGATGGAGTCCTTTCTTCCTGAGCCCTTCCTTTCCTTCTTAATATAGTTCAGGAGGCTCAGCCTTGTCTTCAACAAGGTACAGTGGCTTTTGTCCAATGCAAAGAATAAATGGCTAGGTCTATGCCTAATAGAGAGTTTCTAAAAGTGCTTCCAAGCCAGGTGCTAGTGGCTCACTGTAATCCTAGCTACACAGGAGGCTGAAATCTAAGGATCACAGTTCAAAGCCAGTCCCCATGAGGGCTAGGAAGATGCCTCAGTGGTAGAGTGCTTTGCCTTGCAAGCATGAGGCCCTGGGTTCGATTCCTCAGTACCACATAAGCAGAAAAAAAGCCAGAAGTGGTGCTGTGGCTCAAGTGGTAGAGCACTAGCCTTGAGCTGAAGAGCTGAGGGACAGTACCCAGGCCCAGAGTTCAGGCCCCATGACCACCACCACCACCAACAAAAAAAAAAAAAAGAGAACGAGAAAAGTCCCCATGAGATTGTTATCTCCAATTAACTACTCAAAAAACTGGGATAGCTGGGCGCTGGTGGCTCACACCTGTAATCCTACTCAAGAGGCTGAGATCTGAGGATCAAGGTTCAAAAGCAGCCCGGGCAGGAAAGTCCGTGAAACTCTTATCTCCAATAAACCACCAGAAAACCGGAAGTGGTGCTATAGCTCAAGTAGTAGAGTGCTAGCCTTGAGCTGAAGAGCTGAGGCACAGCGGTCAAGACCAGAGTTCAAGCCCCAGGACCGACAAAAAAAAACAAAACAAAACTGGGAAGTTGGAGTTGTGGCTCAAGGTGCTATAGCATTAGGTAGCCTTGGGCAAAAGAGCTCAGAGACAGCATCCAGGTCCTAAGTTCAAGCCCTACAACTGACAAAAAAAATAAAAATAAAGTGCTTCCAGCCCTTCTTTGCTTTTTGTTTGTTTTTGTCAGTCCTGGGGCCTGAACTCTGGGCCTGGGCGCTTTCCCTCAGCTCTTCAGCTTAAGGCTAGCACTCTACCATTTGGGCCACAGAGCCACTTCCAGGTTTTTCTGCTTATGTGGTGCTGAGGAATAGAACCCAGGACTTCATGCATGCAAGGCAAACACTCTACCACTGAGCCACCTTCCCAGCCCCCCAGCCCTTCTTTATGTCAAACCCTTTGGGACACTCACCTCTAGACTGTCACTGCCATCTGCTTCCCGATCAATGATGTCAAAAATATCCTCATGGATCTTCTCTCCCTATGCAGAGACAGGAGGGTCAGAATGGAACAGGGTCATATAACAAGGAATAACCTCAGAACAGCTACCTTGATTCTCTCCATAGCACCTAAAGTCCTCTTATTGAGCATGACTACCTTTCACATTGAGCGGTAGTACAATATAGCAGCTACAAGAAATTTATACTTAAGACAACCTTGATACCCACATGACCCATTCATATGTTAGCTCTATTTCCTCTCATTTTGAAATTATGGGGATTGAGCCTAAAGCCTTTCTCGTGCATCCTACTACTGTACTGTAGGTACACTGTACAGGTGACTAATTCCGGGCAGATTAATCTTTTCCTGCTTTAATTTCCTCATCTAACAGAGGTTATAACATAGGACCATAGTCTCTTATCTAAAATTCTTTGTGCTCATTATGATTTTGAACTCAAAATTTATTTACAAAGGCATTTTGTTACATAGTAAAGAAAAATCCATAGTACATGCACAGTAAAGAAAAAGCCATGGGAGGCATGTTAATCAAACAGACTAACATTTCTGCAATGATAGGTAAGAGTAATGACAGAGAATTCTATAAAACAGCTCATCTTCATTGAGATTTGGCTTTATGTCTTTTGACTTCAGACCTTCTTGGATTGTGAAAGAACAAATAGATTGTGGACCTCTAGTACTTACCTCTGAGGATGTTGAGAAGTTTAAATAAAGTAATATAGTATTTAGAATGGCTTGAACACTAAATGTTGTTAGTTGCTTCCTTTTTTGTTTGTCTTTATCTATCATAGGCTGCCCTTGAACTCATCATGCCTCACGTCCTACTACATATGGCTTTATTGTAGGCAGTTAACAGCACTATACAGTCAGCTCACTGCAGCTATGTCTGTCTGTCTTTAGCACTTATACTTCTGACTTGGTTTCATCTCCCCCTAGGAAGTCTTAGGGCCTGCACAAGTTGTGAACCCTGCAGGAGAATAGCAAATGACCTGGGAGAATCCACTGGCCCAGTTGTTGCCAGCTCCTCCTCCATGTTCCGACAAGTAGATGTTCTCTGGGTTGTAGAGCTTGGCATAGGAGGAGTTGAGGATGGAGTGGATCACTCGAGGCTCCAGGTCCAACAGCACGGCCCGAGGAATGTAGTGCTCATCATCTGCCTATCAAAGGGAGGCCAAGAGGGGACTTGGGTCAGCTGGGGGGGGGGGCGAGGAGGGAAGAAGGGAGGTCCCGAGTCCTCCCCACTCCAATTCTTGCTGCCTCTCCCGCCTCAAACCAGCCACCCTGACCCCTCTGCGCAGTGGGTTTCCCAGTCCCAGGCCGCTGTTCTTCCTTTCAGTCCCCCCTGGGATTACTGCTAGCCCTGGCCTAGTTGCTGGGGGCACCTGGTAAAAAAAGACGTCCTTGCGGTCAGTGCCCTCGGTGGCGAACTCCTCCACGATGCCCTCCGGGCTGATACCATGCTCTGCACACAGCTGTTTCCAGAACTCGAACCCGACTGGGGAGAAGGGGTGGGCAGGAGAGAAATAAGATAGCTGGGTTTGGACAGGGTTCCAACTAGCAGCCACGGGACTGAACGCCTAGGTCCAAGCATAAGAAGCCTAGCCTCAGGCCTCGCCAGTATCTCGAGGAGAGGCGTCTACAGCGGCGACAGTACAGAGGAGTGCCCCTGGGCTGCTAGCAGGACCACAGGACCCTGAGTCGAGGATGTCCCGCCTTTCGGAGAACTGCGATTCTGGGCATGGCAGATGGAACCTAGGATTCCACAGAGAGGTCCAAACGGAGCTAAGGAATCTAGCTAAAGGAGGGCCCGGAGGTTCGCTCACTCTGATTGCCGCACTGGCCCAATTGTAGGGTGATGATTTCTCTCGGCATCGCTCCTTAGGTACCAGCGTTGCAGCCGCTCCCGCCAGGAACGCCGCGACTCGCCTGCCCGCCGGCCGCAAGACGCAGGCGCGCAATAGCTAGTTCCACCTACCAACTTTCTTCGCTCCAATGAGCTCTGAGTTCTGTTGAGGGCAAGTTCCCTTACTCCTCTGGCTTCAGTTGTGTAGAGCGCGCATGCGCAGAGCCGTTCCGGCGTTCGATTCCTCCGCGCGAAGGGACCCATTTTGACTGAGCCTCCCTCGCTTTCTAACTGAACGAGCCTGTGCGCTTGCGCACATGTTGAGAGGCGGCGTTCCCCCCCGCCAGCCGAATCTCGCATCTGCGCAGTTGCTGTTATTTGTGTTCGTCGAGCCGCAGTCCCGGATGTTGTGGCTGCCGGGGGGGAGATGGCGGAGGTTGAGGGGGTAGTCGCGGCCCCAGGGCCAGCTTCAGGGTTGGCTTTCAGGGGCCGCCAAGCTATGTCCGGCTCCTGTGAGCGTGACCAGCAGGTTGAGGCGACGCAGCGGGCCCTGGTGGAGGTGTTGGGGCCCTACGAGCCCCTGCTGAGCCGGGTCCAGGCAGCCCTGGTGTGGGAGCGGCCAGCCAGGAGCGCCCTGTGGTGCCTGGGGCTGAATGCGGCTTTCTGGTGAGAGAACTGGACCCTCTGAAACCCTGCAGGGCGCGAACTCGTCAGGTGTCTCTGGGGTTCTCACCTCTCCGCCTGCCCGGTCTCCTTCTCTACATTGCCTTACCTCCTTCCACCCCATCCCGCCTCCACGCTGCTTTGACATTCCAGCCCTTCCCAGGGCCTTCCAGCTGGCCTCCTTGCTGTACCCGCGCCCGCACTCTCGCCCCGCACATCTGGCGGAGCTTCTGGTAACTTCTGGAGGGGTTCGCAGGGAAAAACCAAGATGCCTCTTCTTGTTAGCTTGTGAAAGCTGTTTCCTGTAAGGCCCTTATCTTCTTTTCTCTTTTCTGCCCAAGTGTGGCTGGAAGGCTGCCTTCCAGAGATTTTTAGCAGTGAGAGGTGGAGATGGAAGGTCTGAAAAAAAATGTATCCATAGCTGTGATAAGAAAACAAGTTGAGGCGGTTAGCATGAATTAGCATCTTGGATAATTCATGTCTCACTCCGTCCAGAGAGTTGAAGTTTAGGCGTCCGTGTGGACCTCCACAGATGAAACTTGGAAGAAAATGCTAAGCCTTTAAAGGAAATAGTGATCGTGAGATCTTACCCTTTCCACAGCCAGTTAAGACTGCAGTGCCTCCCTGTTTCAAGAAATTAGAGAGGCATCCTTAGCCACAGTACATAAACAAGGAAATTGAGGCTATAATAAAATTTTCCAGGACTGGACAAGTGGCACTGTAAATACATTTTAAATGTAAGGGTCATGCTTTGGGGAAATGGGACTGCTGTTCCTCTCCTAAGTTGTCATCTCCTAAAGACAACAGGTCTTCATAGAATCTACCAATCATAGTTGGGGGTTTGTTAATAGGGAAGTAAGTAGATTCAATTCCAAGGGTACTGTGCATGTATGGGAGAGGGGGAGCTTCAGCTAAATGAAATAAGACTACCCTGGATAAAAGTGAATCAACAGTGAGTTTTTTTAATTTGTTGTTTTTGCCAAAAATAGCTTCTTAAAATTCTTGGTTTGAAAGTCAAAACACTGCCATTTGGTTGAAAGAAATTTTAGTGCATGGGTATAGAACAATTAATTCAAAGTCCTTTGACTTAGTCCTCTCCTAGTTTGAAGGAGACTCACATTAAAGGTACCATAGCAGCCTGGCATTTCTTGATTCCATTCTTTAGCAAATTAGATGGTAAACTTTTCCTTCTCCCTCTTTCACTACTTCCCTCCCTCTCTTTCCCAGAGCCTTGTGCATGCTAAGCATGTGCTGTATCTTTGAGCTAACCCCAGCCCTCATCACCTGTTGGTAAGGTAATCATTCTTCCTCGACCCCCCAGGTATCAACTTCCCTTTCATTGCTGTCAGAAGCCCTTAACTGTAAGTACCTCATTTAGGAGCATTTATCCAGGCAAAATTTCACTTCCCACAGTGGTGCCCCTAGAAAGAAAGCAACAGGAAACTGCTGGCCCCCAACAGTTTTCTGAAGTTTAGTAGTGTGCTGTTTAGTTTTTCTTTTTTGTCGGTTGTGGGGCTTGAACTCTGGGCTTGGGCTCTGTCCCTGTGCTCTTCCGCTCAAGGCGAGCGCGCCACCGCTTGAGCCAAAGCACTACTTCTGGTTTTCTAGTAGTTTATTGGAGATAGTCTCACAGACTTTCCTGCCCGGGCTGGCTTTGGACCGTGATCCTCAGATCTCAGCCTTCTGAGTAGCTAGGATTACAGGCGTGAGCCACCAGTGCCCAGCTAGTCTGCTGTTTAGAATCTCACTTTTGCACTCTGGATGGCAAAACCTTATTGTACTTGGTCTTTATCTCTGGCATTTTCTGGTAGCATGCCTGCTGTGTATCTAGAACACAGTAACTCTTATTACAGTCCCATCACATTCTAAGAAGGTAGGAAAGAGCAAAAGGAGAGTGTGGCCGGGTGCCGGTGGCGCTGTGTCTCAAAAGTGGTAGAGCACTAGCCTTGAACAAAAAAGAGCTCAGGGCTGGGCACTGGTGGCTCACGCCTGTAATCCTAGCTACTCAGGAGGCTGAGATCTGAAGATCACGGTTCAAAGCCAGCCCCGGCAGGAAAATCCGTGAAACTCTTATCTCCAATAAACCACCAGAAAACTGGAAGTGGTGCTGTAGCCCAAATGGTAGAGTGCTAGCCTTGAGCTGAAGAGCTGAGGGACAGCACTCAGGCCCAGAGTTCAAGCCCCATGACCAACCCCCCCCCCCCCCAAAAAAAAGTGTGACTTGAGACAGAAAGAATAGTTGGCTATGCTATTTATGAAAACTTATACCTATGAAGGATACAGATAGGGTTAGGGTCCAAGACACTAGACTATTAGGCATTGGCATTCATAGAATGTAGGGGAATGAGCTTCTTTGGAAAGTAGTCTGAAGTTTAAATTGAAAATTAGGCTTTACATACCAGTAGTGTCTTATTGAGTATTGGGGTATTGACATTTCAGTTTGGAATGCGGATGAGTGTTTAGGTCGTAGACATTAAATATTTAAAAAAGGAAAGAGTATGAGTATCATTAAAAGGTCAGAAAAAGCAAATTTAAAATACTTTTTTTTTTTTTCTTTTTTTTGTCGGTCTTGGGGCTTGAACTCTGGGCCTGGGCGCTGTCCCTCAGCTCTTCAGCTCAAGCCGAGCGCTCTACCACTTGAGCTACAGCGCCACTTCCGGTTTTCTGGTGGTATATTGGAGATAGGAGTCTCACGGACTTTCCTTCCCCGGGTTGGCTTTGAACCGCGATCCTCAGATCTCAGCCTCCTGAGTAGCTAGGATTACAGGCGTGAGCCACCAGCGCCCGGCTGCAAATCTAAAATACTTAATCCTTCATCATGTGTTAAGAATCATAGCACATTGTTGAGGTGTTATATGCATTTTGAAGTATTACAAGATTGAATAATAGTAGAAAAAAGTAATCAGAAATCAAGTAGGTAGCTCTTTTAGTTATGGTTAATCTCGATCTGAGGATCACAGTTCCAAGCCATCTGTTCAGAAAAGTCCATGAGACTCTTATCTCCAATTAATGACCAAGAAGCCCAAAAGTATAAGAAAACAAAAAGCCAAAAGTAGAGCTATGGTTCAAATGGTAGAGTGCTAGTCTTGATCACAAAAACTTGGGAACAGTACCTAGACCCAGGACCAATAAGTAAATAGACAAATAGATCTGTTTACAATAAGTAAATAGATAAATAGACCAATGTAGATAGCTTGTCACCATAGTATTCTTAGACTTTTACTCCCCCACCCCCACCCCCTGGAGGGTCTAACAAAATTATGATGGCCATATCAGAGACCTGGCTTAGATTACCTTTGGTCACTGACCAGTTATTATCTCTAAGATAATAGTCTTCACTGCTAATAGCTGATATTTTTATTAGCCTCACTTTATCTGTAAATGAGTGACAGGGGAAGAATATGGGTGTCAGCAAGAGTACATCCTGACAGGATCAGAAAAAAAACATTCCAGTAGCTTTTTGGCTTGTGTCATAGGAGCTAAGAGTGAGGGTAAATGAGCCCTAGAAATGTGAGGGCATTCCAAGCTCCTTCCCACTTCCATGAAGAACACATGGTTCAAGGAGCACTAGATGACTTACTAAGCTGATTCCCATTTAATATTATTCTACGCCGTCTTTAGGGATATGATTGAGCACAATCCACAAGAGGATTCTTTGTTGAGATCTGTTTTTATAGTCACTAATCTGAATTAATCATGTTATACTGAGGGGGTCATTACAGAATCTGTTTTTTAAAAAAGGTTCCCTTTCCTCCCTAAAACAAAAAAAAAAGTTGTGTGGGGTTTTTTTGTTTTTGTTTTTTGATGGCTTGGAAATTGATGAAGCAATTCTGACCCTAAAAGGTTAGAATTTGAAGCCAGGCACCAGTGGCTGAGGCCTGATGATCATGGTTCAAAGCTAGCCCAGACAGGAAAGTACATGAGAAATTTATCTCCATTTAACCACCAGGAAACAGGAAGTGGTGCTGTGCTTCAAAGTGGTAAGCACTCTCCTTGAGTGAAAGCGCAGGAACATCTCCCAGCCCTGAGTTCAAGCCCCATGACTTAACCAAAAAAAAAAAAAAAAAAAACACCTGGCGCCGATGGCTCACACATGTAGCTACTTAGGAAGCTGAGATCTGAGGATCACAGTTCAAAGCCAGCCTAGGCAGGAAAGTCCGTGAGACTCTTATCTCCAATAAACTACTAGAAAACCGGAAGTGGCGCTGTGGCTTAAGCGGTAGAGGGCTTGCCTTGAGCTGAAGAACGCAGGGACAGCGCCCAAACGCAGAGTTCATGCCCCACAACCGACCAAAAAAAAAAAGTTAGAATTTGAGTGAAAAACAGTTATACTGGAGTTCTTATTCAGGTAGTAGAATGCTTGCCAAACATCTTCAAGGCCCTCTGTTTAATCCCTAGTACCAAAAATAAATAAATAAACAAAACCCCAACAAACAGGAAATAGTTTCCGTAGAGACAATTTGTTTCCTGGGGAAAAAATGTGTACATAAAATTTAGATGGAATCACTTGAGCCAAATGAGTCTGGTTATAGTCTTTCCAAGCCCCAGGACTAGGGAGAAAAATGTCTAATTTAGCTTTTTTTTTTCTGTCAGTGCCTGGGTACTGTCCCTCAGCTCTTCAGCTCAAGGCAAGCACTCTACCACTTGAGCCACTTCTAGCTTTTTCTGTTTATGTGATACTGAGGAATTGAACCCAGGGCTTCATGCATGCTAGGCAAGCACTCTACTACTAAGCCACATCCCCGGCCCCTTACTTATATTTTTTCATGCTACTGGGTTGATAAGTACCTATCACAGTGCCCAGTTTTACTCATTGAAATGTAGTCTTGTTTTTGCTTGTGCTAGCCTTGAACTTCAGTCCTCCTTATCTCAACCTCCTAAGTAGCTAGGATTACAGGCACTTACCACAGCCCTAGCTTTGTCCCCTGTTTTTATCTGTCTTAATTGTAAGGTTGGATGCTTTCTCTCAATTAACATAGATAAACCATTAGCAGCTAGTTGGTTCCATTTCTTGTTTTTGTGCAAGCAACAATTATCATTATATGGTATGGGTTGGGTTAATTTTTTTCCCTTTTAATTTGCCAGTGACTAGCTCATTAACTACACAGTCACAAGTGCTGTACAATAATGGGCTTACTGTCCCTGTAGGCTGCCATCCTTTGTTCTGAAGTGCCATTGAGATGAGCTTATGCTGTAATGACAAAGGAAGCTAAAAATAATATTTACTAGAAAATAGTAATAGAGTAATATATGTCTGGGTTTTTTTCCTTCTTGTGGAACTGAAGGTGGATCCTAGGACCTCATACACATTATACATGTATTATGTATGACTATCACAAACCTTTACCAATCCAGAAAAGAGGAGGAGGAAGCCTGGTGCCAGTGGCTCACACCTGTAATCCGGCTACTCAGGAGGCTGAGATCTGAAGATCAAGGTTCAAAGCCAGCTGAGGCAGGAAAGTACATGAGACTCATCTCCAATAAACTCAGAAAACTGGAAGTGGCGCTGTGGCTCAAGTGGTAGAGTGCTAACCTTGAGCTGAAGAGCTGAGGGACAGCACAGTTCAAGTCTCATGATGGAAAAAAAAAGTGCTTATTGACATAGTATTTCACTTCAAATAGTGTTCTTATCATTCGTCTTTCAAATTTTTTTATTACTGCCTTATATTATAAATATATAATATATATTATATATTATATAGTGTAAATATATATAATATATATAATATATATATTATATATATAATATATATTATATAGTGTAAATATATAATATTTACACTACAGGAGTGCTTAACTTAATATCAACTTTTTTGTTTTTTTGTGTGTGTTCTGGGATTGTGCTGAGCACAATCCAGGACCTTGTACTACTCTCACTGCTAGCACTCTACCTACCATTTGAGCCATGCCCCCAGAAATTTTTTACTGGCTAATTGGAGATAGTCTGTCACGTACTTTTCTGTCTGGGTTAGCTCTAACTTTAGTCCTCAGGTCTCAGCCCCCTGACTAGCTAAGATTCAGGCATGGGCTACCAGTGCTGGCTTATGTTTTATTCTTTTCTGTAGTTGAGCTGCTTGCTTACCAAAAAGCTTCAGCAAGTAGGCACTCAATAAACGTTCAATTAAGTTAAAGCATGGCTTAGGAGAATGGGAGGTGGGAGCAATTTTTTTCCTACTCCATTTTGTATTCGGTTAAAAAATTATACTTTGGCCAGGTGCCGGTGGCTCACACCTGTAATCAGGAGGCTGAGATCTGAGGATCACAATTTGAAGCCATCCTGGCTTAGTCTGTGAGACTCTTTTTGTTGTTGTTGGTCATGGGGCTTGAACTCTGGGCCTGAGAGCTGTCCCTCAGCTCTTCAGCTCAAGGTGAGTGCAGTACCACTTGAGCCACAGTGCCACTTCGGATTTTCTGGTGGTTTATTGGAGATAAGAGTCCCATGGAGCTGGGTGCCGGTGGCTCATGCCTGTAATCCTAGCTACTCAGGAGGCTGAGATCTGAGGATGGAGGTTCAAAGCCAGCTTGGGCAGGAGAGTCCGTGAGACTCTTATCTCCAATAAACCACTCAGAAAACCAGAAGTGGTTATAGAGTGCACCTTGAGTTGAAGAGCTAAGGGACAGCATCTAAGCCCAGAGTTCAAGCCCCACAACTGACAAAAAAAAGAGAGAGAGAGAGAGTCTCATGGACCTCCCTGCACGTGCTGGCATTGAACTGTGATCCTCAGGTCTGTTTCCTGAGTAGCTATGATTACAGGTGTGAGCCACCTGTGCCCAGCTATGTGAGACTCTTTATCTCCAATTAAACAGCAAAAGGCCAGAAGTGGAGCTGTGGCTCAAGTGTTAGACTGCTAGCCTTGAGGAAAAAGGCTCAGGAACAGACCCCAGGCCCTGAGTTCAAGCCCAGGATTGGCACCCTCCACCACCACCACCACCCCCCCCCCCCAAAAAAAAAGCAAGCTCTGAGAACAGGAGGATTTAGGCAGTCTTATTACCTACCTAGCTCTTTGAAGTACTGAGCAAAGTAGTTGCATCACATATAGCTAGAGAAACAGCAGCACTAGGGAACAAGAAACTCGGCCTTATTAAGTTTGCTTATTTGTTGGGATAATGCACTGACTTTGGAAAGAGGCTTAATGGCCAGAGGCAGCTCTAGAGGTTTTATTTTTAAGCCGCTTTCATTCTTTAATCTATCGTATAATTGCACTATCTGTTAAGACCTTTTTTTGTTGTTGTTGTTGGTTGTGGGGCCTGAACTCTGGGCCTGGGCGCTGTCCCTCAGATCTTCAGCTCAAGGCTAGTGCTCTATAGTACCACTTCCAGCTTTTTCTGCTTATGTGGTGCTGAGGAATCGAACCCAGGGCCTCATGGATACAAGGCAAGCACTCAACCACTGAGCCACCTTCCCAGCCCCCAGACCTCATTTTTAATATAATTTTATTTTTATTTTGTAATTCTTAAATGTTAAACTAAGTGATTTGAACAGAGGAACAAAAAAATCACCAAGACAGACTGGCTTTAAGATTGAAAATATGGAATACTTCATGAATTTGCATATCATACTTCTGCTGGGACCATGTTATTCTTCTCTGTATCATTCCAATTTTAGTATATATGCTGCCCAAATGAGCACGTAATATAATTTTTAAAAGGTAACATGCATTGGTGTTTATAGAAATGACTACAAAACATCTGGAAACAACATTTAAAATTGCTTTACCATTTCCTGTGTATGTGTCTAACTTCATATATAGATAGATATAGATATAGAAATATATCCAGAAAAAGCTTTTTCTTTGTTTTGTTGTTATTCTGGGAATTGGAACTAGGGTCACAAGTCTTTAATCTTTTATGTATGATAGGAATTATAGTTAATTTTTTTTTGGGGGGGTGGTCATGGGGGCTGAACTCTGGGCCTGGGTGCTGTCCCTCAGCTCTTCAGCTCAAGGCTAGCGCCCTACCACTTGAGCCACGGTGCTACTTCCAGCTTTTTCCTGCTTATGTGGTGCTAAGGAATCAAACTCGGGGCCTCATGCATGCTAGGCAAGCACTCTACCACTGAGCCAGCTTCCCAGCCCCTGATAGGAATTATACTATGAGAATTGTTCTGTGATTTTTGACAAGTTGTTAGGCCATGTTGTTGAACTGTGATCATTCCAGAGTTATTACCTATATCCAATCCTTACTTTTACCCCTTTAGTCAGTTGCTATGACAATACCTAATAACAATACAGTATTACAAATATGAATATAGCTGGGTGCTAGTGGCTCATGCATGCCTGTAATCCTACTCAGGAGGCTGAGGTCGGGTGATGGCGGTTCAAAGCCAGCCTGGGCAGGAAAGTCTGTAAGACTCTTATCTCCAATTAACCACCAGAAAACCAGAAGTGGACCTGTGGCTCCAAGTGGTAGAGCACTGGCCTTGAGATGAAGAGTTTTGGGACAGTGCCAAGGCCCAGAGTTCAAGACCCACAACCAACAATAAATAAATACATAATAGAATTACAGGCTAAGCATATATTATGTACTTATTATTTTCTTGGCTTTTTTGGCCACAGTGATTTAAGTGTGTTATTAAGAATGTTATTTCTGGCCTGGCACGAGTGGCTCACCATGATCCTCAGATCTCAGCCTCTTACGTAGCTAGGATTACAGTCAGGAGCTACCGGCACCCATCTGCATGTTTTTAAGTATATCTCTGTCAGTGTGTTCCCCTGTAATGAATGGGACCTAATTTGACAGATGATAGATGTATGCTTTCATCATAACAATTTATCAAGGGTTAATGTCTCTAAAATTATTAGAATCACAGACTGGAAAGTTGAAAGGGATTTTGAGAGATTAATTAGGCCTCTGCCTTTACAGAAGCAAATTATTATCTCTGTTCATAGGTAAAATAGTTAAGACACAAAAGTTTCAATTATTTACCCAAGGTGTACAACTAGTCAGTGTTAGAACATACAAAATTTTTGTTTGTGTACTCCAGTAGCAATAATATACATGTAGTGTTTTTGAAATTAGCTTAATTTCTTAATGACTTCTTGTTTCTCCTTCTCTGTAGGTTTTTTGCACTGACATCCCTTCGTCTTGTGTTTTTACTTTCATTTGGCTTGATGATCATTGTCTGTATTGATCAATGGAAGAATAAAATTTGGCCTGAGCTGAAAGGTAAGTTCAATAGCATTTAGAACAGTCTGGATTAGAAATTTAATTTTTGCCTTTAGTTTTGTTTTGTTTCAGTTTTTGAGATGTGGAGCTTGAGACATACTGTCTTTTAAAATCTAAATTATTTGCTTTTAAGAGACACTTGAAAGGCTTGTGCCCATCTGTGAGTCAGTAGTAAGCTTTGCCTTTTCCATCTTAGCAAATCTATAGCTACCTCTTTATTCCTGGGGAGTAAGTAGTTCTTTTTTTTTTTTGTCGGTTGTGGGGCTTGAACTCTGGGCTTGAGCGCTATCCCTGAACTCTTCAGCTCGAGGTGAGTGCTCTACCACTTGAGCTACAGTGCCACTTCAGGTTTTCTAGTGGTTTATTGGAGATAAGAGTCTCATGGACTTTCCTGCCCGGGCTGGCTTTGAACCGTGATCCTCAGATCTCAGCCTCCTGAGTAGCTAGGATTACAGGCGTGAGCCACCGGTGCCCGGCATAAGTAGTTCTTAAGAGTTTTTTTTTTCCCAGTTGTGGGGCTTGAACTCAAGGTCTGGGCACTGTCCCCTGAGCCTCTTTGGGTTCAAGGCTAGCCATCTACCACTTGAGCCACAGTGCCACTTTTGGTTTTTGAGTAGTTAATTGGAGATAAAGAGTCTCATGGGGACTTTTCTGCCCAGGCTGGCTTCGAACCACGATACTCAGAAATCAGCCTCTTGAGTAACTAGAATTACAGGTATGAGCCACTGGCACATACTAGCTTATGAATTTTTTTTTTCTTTTTGCCAGTCCTGGGTCTTGAACTCAGGTCCTGGGCACTGTCCCTGAGCTGCTGTTGCTCAAGGCTGGCATTCTACAACTTGAGCCACAGTGCCATTTCCAGCTTTTTCTTTATATGGTACTGAGGATTCGACCCCATGGCTTTATGCATGCTAGTCAAGCACTCTTACCACTAAGCCACATTTCCAGCCCCAGTTTAAGAATTTTTTTTTTTTTGTCGGTAGTGGGGCTTGAACCTCTGGGCTTGGGCGCTGTCCCTGCACACTTCAGCTCAAGGCAAGCACTCTAACGCTTGAGCCACAGCGCCACTTCCAGTTTTCTGGTGGTTTATTGGAGATGAGTCTCACGAATTTTCCTGTGGGCTGGCTTTGAACTGTGATCCTCAGATCTCAGCCTCCTGAGTAGCTAGGATTACAGGTGTGAGCCACCAGCGCCCAGCCCAGTTTAACAATTTTTAAAAATAAATATCTTTAGCTAGGCACCTGTAATCTTAACCACTCGGGAGGCTAGCTTGAACAGACAAATCTTTGAGACTGTTACCTCCATTTAACCAGCAAAAAGCCAGATGTAGAGGCATTGCTGTACTGGTAGAGTTCCAGCCATGAGTAGAAAAGGCTGAGTGAGAGCATGAGGCCTGTGTTCAAACCCCAAAGCAAAAATCCTTACTGGATTATGTATCTTTACTGAGGGAACATCAACTTACTTCCCTAGGATTTCTTTTAAATCATTTATTTGTAATGTGCTAAGTGAAGCATTATGATTTATGGAAAGTAATCTAAAACAGGGTACTTATTTTGGTTTTGTGGTTTGAGGTCTTAGTTTAGGGCCTTTTGCCCTCTTTTATCTTACTTTCCTGAGTGCTGCTCTACCACTTGAGCCACATCTCCAGCCCTGAGACAAGGTACTTTTCAAAGATTTTTTTTCTTTAGCATAAGAAAAATTAATGACATAGAATAATACCAGAGATAACATAGTTTAGTTTGAATTATATATTCATTATTATTTTAGTCCTTAACTCAAGCCTAGAATGGAGAAAAATGAAAAACATTTGGAAATTGGAAAGAAAACTATTTCTAGATAGGCCAATAGCTTGATTAGTTTAAGGAACAAGCTGCAAAGCTTCTTCTGAGAACAGAGAATTGAGAATTTGGGTAAAAATGAAAAATTATTCAAGGTAGTACTAAGAAAACTGTAGCCCAGCGCTGGTGGCTCACATCTGTAATGCTAGCTACTCAGGAGACTGGGTGAGATCTGAGGATCATGGTGTGAAGCCAGCCCAGGCAGGAAAGTCTGTGAGACTCTTATCTCCAATTAACCACCAAAAAGATCAAACTGGAGCTGTGGCTCAAGTGGTAGAGCACTAGCCTTGAGCAAAGAAGCTCAAGGACAATGCTTAGGCCTTGAGTTAAACCCCAGCACTGACACAAAACAAACAAAAACCATCTCAAAGGTTATTGCCATTAGATTTTTTTTAACCTTAAGATACAAATCTTTTATTAGTAAAGAAAAGGCATTAGTGATCATAAAGCCATTAGATTTTATAAGGCCTGTAAGTTAGGCCTAGAAAAAAAAAAGACTGATAAGTTGGATGGTCTTAAGAGCAAGGGACAAAAAATAACTGGGATTTTAACAATGTTGAGTAGAGAAGTAGAGGTATGGCTCAAGTGGGTAGAGTGCCAGCCTTGAGCAAAAAACTAAGGAAGAGTGCACAGGCCCTGAGTTCAAACCCCAGTACCAGCACCAAAGAGTGGAGAGTGGGAGAATGACATACAATTAGAAGATACAGGCAAAGCCAAAGAAGTTGGTTCATGTAAGGGGGTATGAATGAGAAAAGTTGATGTGTGTTGTGTTGGCAGGTTGTGAAGCCAGAGCATAGCTTCTAGTGGTGCTGGTGGTCCTGGTGGTCCTGGGGGCTGCTCTCTGGACCTGGGCGCTGTCCCTCAGCTCTTCAGCTCAAGGCTAGTGCTCTACCACTTGAGCCACAATGCCACTTCTGGCTTTTTCTGCTTATGTGGTGCTGAGGAATGGAACCCAGGGCCTCATGCATACAAGGCAAGCATTCTACCACTGAGCCACCTTCCCAGCTCCCAAAGTGTATAGCTTTTAAATAGGTTATTCTCTTGTTTTATAGAAACTTCAAGGAATCATGTAGTTCCTCTGCTTGTCATAGCTGGTGAATGTCAAAAGACTAAATAATTCAGATCAAAGGATGTCTCTTTAAAGAAAATAGGTAGATATTTTAGGGTTGGAGTAGTTACAACATGTTCTAGTACTTTGATAGACACTGATATTTATGAGTAGCCCAGACACATTCAAGGGATGGGACCATTTTTCTTGTATACTTTGGCTTTCCACTGAAGTAATTAAAGGGCTCTATTGGTCTGTTTGTACCCTTTGCCTTTTCCTTAAGAAATGAGTGGGCATAAGCCATTATTCTCTTGTTTGAACAAGCATAAGTCATTATTTCCTTGTCTGTTAGCTCCCTAACTCTGGCATTTATAACATGATGTCTCTTTTTTATTGGATATTATTTTCTTTTTCTCAAACCTATTAACACTTGAGTTGTCAGACCAAAAGCCTAACATTTTCATGATGAGTTTTCCCTACCAACTAATGCTGGTGTTTGTTTTAATATTGTAGTGCCAAGACCCGACGCATTAGACAATGAGAGGTATGGAACCTGATTAAATCCCTTTTTGTTGCTCGGATTCTTTTTGTAATATTCTGATTATATGTTGTTAAGCCCATGTTCTGGACATACAGTGGACACTGGCCCAAATCCTAAAGTTTAGGCGGTAATATTTTGAGATAGTCAGTGTCTCTTCTAAAAAGAGAACTTGTAGGAAAAAAGAGAGCTTTATTGGTGGAAAAAAACAAAAGCAAAAAACATTACAATGCCTCATAACCTAACACAACAGGGAAATAGCTATATTCAGCCCTAGTGTGAAAACTTATAGCTAATTTGATTTGTATCCTGGCTTTAAACCAGGTCTAATGTTTTCTGTGACCTGTGGCTATTTAAAGTCCTCGGTCAGAAAACATTCTGGTTTCTGGCCAGTGAGCCATTGCCAAAGATTCCTCTTAACGTCTTACAGCTCCTTTCTCAGTTCATCCACTCCATATGTCTGAGCCAAGAATTTTCTCTTGTTATGGTCTAGTTTGACTTTGCTTTATTTATTGTCTCTCTGAGGAGCACATTCACCATTACCTTCCCTCAGCAGCAGTGTTGTCAGACTGTGCTTTTTACTTGTATCCCTGAATTGCAGTCACAGTGAATTGTAATGGTCTCAGTATGGGAAAGAAAATATTTTTAAACACAAAGGGCCTTGGAACTGGTGGCAGGTATACACATGTGGATTGGGCCAATTGCTCATAGGGTGGAGTTGTCAGAACAAGTTTGCCCTCCTAGTTCCTAATTCAAGTTTCAACCTGAAGAAAGTCCTACTTCACCTCCACAGCACCTGGGACTAGCCACTCCCAGCCTCTATTTAAACCCAGAAGTAATGGCTTACCTGCAATGCAAAATGGGACCCTCAACACCCTCTTTTCACAGCTCGCCCTTCTCTCTCCCTTAGCTGGGGCTTTGTTCACCCACGGTTGCTCAGCGTGCCTGAGCTCTGCCATCATGCAGCTGAAGTCTGGGTTAGTGGGACCATTTTCATAAGGAATCTTTTGCTTTTCAAAAAGCAAAACCCAGGCAAGGTAAGACTTCCATTTTTCACTTTCATACCTGGCCTCAGTTCAGTTCATGCTGAAAATTGAAATAGCTCCTTTTCTGTGTAGGGCTCATTCTAAAAAGAAAAGGAAGCTGGGCACTGTGGCTCACACCTATAACCCTAGCTACTCAGGAGGCTGAGATCTGAAGCAAGTGGTTCAAAGTCACTTGTTTTAATTTTGTAGGGCCAAGCTCAAGCCCCATGACTAGCCAAAAACAAAAAGAAAAGGCTGGGCTGGGAAGGTGGCTCAGTGGTAGAGCCCTTGCCTTGCATGCATGAGGCCCTGGGTTTGATTCCTCAGCACCACATAAGCAGGAAAAAAAAAAAGCCGGAATTGGCACTGTGCCTCAAGTGGTAGAGTGCTAGCCTTGAGCTAAAGAGCTGAGGGACAGCGCCCAGGCCCAGAGTTCAGGCCCCACTACTGGACCCCCAAAAAAAAAAAAAGAAAGAAAAGGCTAACATTTGTAGGATAGACAGAGGCTTCTAATTGGCCTTTAGGATTAAGGCAAGAGCTTGATGACTCCTTGTTGGTGTGTTTGGCTTGTCACTTGGAGTAGACCATTTTCTTTTTCTTTTTTCTCCCTCCTTCCCCATCTTCTGGTGCCAGGGATTGTACTCAGGGTCTTACACATGCTAGGCAAACCTTCTACCACTGAGGTACATCTCTAGTCCCATAAAGTAGGCCATTTTCTTGCCCTAAGGTGAGAAAGAAAGCTTGCTGCATGTGTTGTGTGTCATATTAAAAATGTAGGTTGTTGAGCTTTTGTTGTCTTGTTTACCTATTTTGACTTTTAAGAAAACCCACCAACACTTGTTTTCAGAGAAAATGTTTGGTTAAGCCTTATTCATACCAATTTTGTGACATGAAAGGTATAGCTATATGGAGTTGCCACATGAATGGAGTTTGAGTACAAGGGAACATCCACTTTTTCCCCAAACAGAATAGCCATTGGACAGAAGAGTAGCTACATCTGTCATCTGATATGTCTATACTTGACTTATAGATCCTAAAGATATTTCAGTCACTTCTCTACCATTAATCCCCCATTCTCACTCCTTGCCATGTGGCAGAAACTTAATATCGCTTCTTGACTCTCCAGTTCTGCTTGCTGAGCTGTGGGATTCTGACCTTTTTGGCTGTCTTGGGCCGCTACATCCCTGGACTCCTGCTGTCCTATTTGATTCGTAAGTAAGGTTTGTGCCTCCCGTTAGGAGCTACTCTTGTTCATAGCTTTTCTAATTACAGCTAACCCTGGATCTAGGGAGAGAATGCCTATATCTAAGGTCACCAGAAAATGACCTTTTCATAGTTTCATGACCAGTTTAGTGTTAAGAAAAATGTCTTAAGCCGGGCACCAGTGGCTCACGCCTGTAATACTAGCTACTCTGGAGGCTGAGATCTGAGGATAACAGTTCTAAGTCAGCCCAAGCAGGAAAGTCCATTTCTTTCATTGGTGGTGGTGGTCATGGGGCTTGAACTCAGCCTGGGCGCTGTCCCTCAGCTCTTCAGCTCAAGGCGAGTATTCTACCACTTGAGCCACAGCACCACTTCTGGTTTTCTAGAGATAAAGAGTCTCAAGGACTTTCCTGTCTAGGCTAGCTTTGAACTGCGATCCTCAGATCTCAGCCTCCTGAGTAGCTAAGATTACAGGTGTGAGCCACGGCACCCAGCTGAAAGTCCGTTTCTTATCTGCAATTAGCCACCAAAAAAACTAGAAGTGGTAAGCACTAGCCTTGAGCTGAAGAGCTCAGGGACACTGCCCAGGTCCAGAGTTCAAGCCCCAGACAAGAAAAAAGAAAAATGTCTTCTTTGTTGTAGCAGATTCCATTGAAGTACATCCTTACCTAAAATCCATCTCTTACCAGGTTTTGGAAATTTACGAGAGCCCACTAACAAAATACTATTCCCAAATATGAAAGCCTGCTTATGTTTAAGGAGGGAATTTTTAGAACATTAATTCTTAGAGGTTTTTCTGTTAGATTCTTTTTGCCTTGGAGGACTTTTTACTCCCCCGGAACATAAGTTTATAAATTCAGTTACTTGATGTTGGCATGTACTCTGGGGCTGGATCAACTGAATTGTTCTGGCTATGACTGTCATATATCAGACCCTCATATGATTGGTTGTATAGTAGAGGTGTTGTTTAATGACTCAGTGATACTCACAGCCAATGTTCACATTTTCTGGTTCTGCCCTGGGTTATCAGTAACATATACGCTATGTATAGAGTAGGCCCTATGGCCTACAGAAGTCTCTGCTTTTAAAAGTCCTCTTTAGGGAGACTGGTATAGATAACCAGTAGAATTAAGCAGAACTATTACATACTAAATGCATGTGTAAGCCTCAAGGACACACTATCAGAGGGATGTTCAACCTCTTCTCCATTTAGCCTCTTCCTCCCATTTCTTTTCTTAGTTGTCACTGTCATGATATGGCCCCTTGCTGTGTACCACCGACTGTGGGATCGAGCCTATGTGCGGCTAAAGCCAGCTCTACAGCGGCTAGACTTCAGTGTCCATGGCTACATGATGTCCAAGCAGAGAGAGAGACAACGTAAGTGTCATGGGAAGCTTCCTTTCACTTAGGCAGTTCAATCAATATTCTAGTCTAGAGCAACACATGCAGGCTTACCAGGTTTTCTCATTGGAATCCCAAACCCTCCCATTTTAACCACACACACACACACACACACACAATATTCTAGTCAAGAGCAACACATGCAGGCTTACCAGGTTTTCTCATTGGAATCCCAAACCCTCCCATTTTAACCACACACACACACACACACACACACAATATTCTAGTCTAGAGCAACAACACATGCAGGCTTACCAGGTTTTCTCATTGGAATCCCAAACCCTCCCATTTTAAACACACACACAATATTCTAGTCTAGAGCAACACATGCAGGCTTACCAGGTTTTCCCATTGGAATCCCAAACCCTTCCATTTTAACCACACACACACACACACACACACACACACACACACACACACTCTAGACTAGAGCAACAACACATGCAGGCTTACCAGGTTTTCTCATTGGAATCCCAAACCCTCCCATTTTAACCACACACACACACACACACACACACACACACTCCTAAGCTGAATAAAAGGCAGATATTGAAAACACTCATAATATTGCCTGCTGTTTATGAAGTATTTCCTTAACTTTTCTGAATACATCATGTAATCTTTATAACAACCTTGAGAAGTAGGTAATTTTATTCTCTTCTTCCAGTATAGCTCTTATTACTGAAAGCACTGAAATCTTTCTTCTCAAGATTAAAAACTGCTTTACAGATGCCAGAAGTGTACTAGCCTAAGATCTACCTAACCCATTGGTGATAGTAGTGCACCGTTTTCCCCTCTGTTTGGGTCTTACCAATTGGGTTTTATTTCCTGATCTTCAAAGAAGCCCACATGTGATTATCAAGGCCCAAGTTCTCCTAGGCCAGCTAGTTGAAAAGTATCAGGACTCAAAAGCCTAATTTAATAAAAGTGAACTCTTCCTTTAGGACCCTCTGTGATAGATGCTATCATAATCATTTACTACCTTGCCATTGGGTCTGCACCTAGCAGGAGGGGTGTTGGAAGAGTGATGTTCTAGAAGTCTTGCTCTACCAACTCACCTTGTCATGTAGGCTCAGCAGCCTTATCTTCATGCATTGTTAAAGAGGCTTACAGCTATATTTCAAGGGACTCTTTTATGATCTAATTTGGAGAAGGCATAAATGTCTTCTCCAAAGGCAAGGCTGTATATGTCTCCTCAAGGGAAGGCCTCAAGCTTTCTGCTCTTTCCATACAGTGCGCCGCAGAGCTCTACACCCAGAACGTACTGCGGACAACAGTGACAGTGAAGAAGAGCTTGCTGCCTTCTGTCCTCAGGTACCTTCAGTGTGGGAGCTGCTCCACTGGCCAGCTTTCCTTAACTCTCTTTTATCCATCAGGCAGCTCACATTTAGGCAGTAACCATGAAAGTTAAAGTTATGGGCTCTCCATGGCCCTAGATTCCTTGTGCCTCCCCACGGTAGAGACAGCAGGAGAGAAGCTAGTATTATATTAGGCCTTTGAACCTAGATCTCAATTTGAGCCTGGTGACCAATAACTCTCTTCCATGTTTCTTCTTACTCTACCATTATGGAAGAACTTCTAGAGCTAGCCTAATCAATCTTGTATTGTAAGCAGACCAGCCCACACTTAGGTCTGGGAAGCAACTATATCCTGCCCACCTGTGAAAAATAATCTGTTACTTGCTTAAGGGTAAGTAGCTAAGTAATGCCCCAGATTGCTTTTCTTCCTATGCTTAAAGTTATGTTTTCTTTGGGGGAGCAGCCTAAAAGGAGTCAAGATTTTGAGTAAAGTCCCCATCTATCTCCTATCACTGGTTATATTGATGTCCTTATATTAGTAGCCTCTAGGGCCAGCTAATTAGTGAAGCCTAGGACTGGGGACTGCTCTTGATAACTAATGGTATCATCTCAGCATTCTTGGTCTTTTCTTTTCCTAAGCTGGATGATTCTACAGTTGCCAGGGAATTAGCTATCACAGACTCGGAGCACTCAGATGCTGAAGTCTCCTGTACAGACAATGGCACATTCAATCTTTCAAGGGGCCAGACACCTTTAACAGAAGGCTCTGAAGGTAAGAAGAACCTTTGACCTGGTAATGACTTTCCTCTCAGCTTCCCTGGACAGAGGAAATACTGGTGCCTACTTCTCTCCTGTGCTCTGAACTGTGGATCAGGTAGCTTAGCACCCTGTGTGTGTATAGCTACAGCCAGGATAGTTCTGCTCTTCTTAAAGCCCTCAGTCTTTTAGTAGCCTCAGCCTCTAGTCTCATGGACATTCTAGAGGAAGGAAGGGAAAATCTGGCCAGTGGTGATCTACTCAGAGATGGGAAAAGCTAATCAGTCCTCAGGTCTTACTTCCTACTGAGAAATCCAGGGCAGAAAAATCTGGTTATATAGTATTGGCTTTTTATGAGTCCCAGGGTACTGGAGGATGTGGTGGCTACCCATGTTTCACATGCTCTGTGTTCTCAGATTTAGATGGCCACAGTGATCCAGAGGAATCATTTGCCAGAGACCTTCCAGACTTCCCTTCCATTAATGTGGATCCTGCTGGCCTGGATGATGAAGACGATACTAGCATTGGGATGCCCAGCTTGATGTACCGGTCCCCACAAGGAACTGAGATTACCCATGCTCCCCCTTCCAGCCAGGGGGAGGCTGCACTGCCAGAGCTTCTGCTTGGTTCCCTTCCTGTAGGATCCAACCTTACCAGCAACCTTGCCAGCCTAGTCTCGCAGGGCATGATCCAGCTGGCCTTGTCAGGGGCCTCCCAGACAGGCCCTTCTGGCCCACCTCCTCGGAGAGCAACAAGAGGTTTTCTCCGGTCTCCTAGTTCAGACCTGGACACTGATGCTGAAGGAGATGACTTTGAACTTCTGGACCAGTCAGAGCTGAATCAGCTGGATCCTTCGAATTCCAGGAGCCACTAAGAATACAAGAGACTCCTTTTTGGGAATCACTGCGGTTTAGGATTTTTTTTTCCCTCATTCCATTTAAGGTGATAGGAGAAGGGAAGAACCCAGGCAGGTCCCATCCCCTCAATTATCTTTGTATGCTGGGTGGCCTGGCTGTTGTTCAGAGGCCTATTTAAAGGATACTCATTTCCCTGCTGCCAGCTGGACATCCATTTCTGTGCTTAGTCACTGAGATGAGAATGTGCTTCCCCAAGGGAGGCTTCTACCAAGATGGTACTTTGAGGAACAAAGTTGTCAGGGATATTCTTTCCCCTTTGAGGAAGTGCTGCTGTTTGCTTTTAGGTCTGGGTGCTCAGGGCCCTCACTGACAAAAGAGCCCACCCTTTATTTCCTCTATCTCCCTGGAACCCCCAAAGTCAGGCAGCAGCTGGAAGAGTTGTCATCTTTTGTTAAATCATGATTTTTTTTTTTTTTAAGGCGAGCTTGTCCTTTGGCTCTGCAGAACAAGCCTGCTTCCCTTTTTCCAGCCCATCTTCTTGTTAACTGACCCCCAGTGCTCCAAAATATTTGTGAAATGTTAAGAAATGTGAATATAATGCAGGGATGGGCCATTCTTATACATCACCTCGGGCCATAGGGGTCAGATAGCTGTTGGTAGGGTTAGTGAGTGCCTCTTTATCTTGAGATCTCACTGAATCTTTTGGAGTTGTGTGATTGCCTTTGGTGCTGCTAACCCTTAACTCCATTTGCATTGGCCTGAGCAGTAAGCAAAGCAATACCACAGCCATTTTTATGTTCCTTTTCCTTCCCTGTTCCTTTGGAAAAGCAATAATTCCATGGGTGGGTGGAGGGGTCCAAAGTAGCACTTTATAAATGGCTTTGTGGCATTCTTCCCAGGAGCCTCAAACTCTTTTGCACCAACTATTCTTACTACCTTTTCAGCTTCTTTATTTTCAACTGCTTCCCTACTTGGTTAAGGCTACCTTTAAAGATGAGCCCATTAGCAAGAATGTGTCTGCAAAGACCCTTCTGGGTGGTATGTGCTCTGCAGACTCTAGTAAAATCATGTAAAGAACCCAAAATGGTCATTAGTTCTAAACCTGTCCAGCCTACTGCCTCACTTTGCCTCCCTAATCAGAGCTCAAGCCAAACTCTTCTATCCTCTTTCCTTCTTGCATTAACCCTTTGCTGATCCTCAGGGACCACTTCCCCAACACCACCCCCATACATGAATGAGGGATGTTGGACAGAGCCTATTTTCATGTGCTACAGGTGGGGGGAAGGGGTGCTGTTTGCTCTTGGTTGATAGACAAGCTAGAGACTAGGGAGTGAAAATAGTTAATAGTGAGAAAGATCTGGGTTCCTGTTTCACAGTCATTTATCCTGTTAGAAGATTAGAGGTAATGGCATCTCCCCACTTTAGGGTTCTCAGACTTTGAATGACATCTCCCCATAGCACAGATGTCTTACAGATGTGCTCTAATATGGGAGGGGGAAGGGAAAGGAGTGGGATTTTGTGTGTTTGCATGAGTGTGTGTAGCTTTAGGCCTTGGGAGTTGGCAAGAGGGAGGGAAGGAAGTTGAGCAAAATCTTTGGTTTTTCTTGTACCTGGGGGATCCTGCTCTAAATCTCTTTAATCCTCCACTGTGAATTTGGGGGTGGGCCAAGTGGGTGGGTGGGTGCTGGGAATAAATCTTGTATGACAACAATCTTTAGGAGGCTGTTACTTTTTTTTTTTTTGCTGGTTCTGGGGCTTGAACTCCGGGCCTGGGTACTGTCCCTGAGTTTCTTTTGCACAAAGCTAGCACTCTACCACTTGAGCCACAGCTCTACTTCTGGGTTTTGGGGGTAGTTTATTGGAGATAAGAGTCTCACAGCTTTTCCTGCTAGGGCTGGCTTTGAAACTCTTCTCAACCTCCTGAATAGAAAGGATTACATTCATGAGTCATGGGCACCTGGCTTGAGAATCTGATATTGAATGGTGACCTCCTTGGTACATCTTCTCAACCAGAGTAATGATTAATCTGAGGATGTGACAGCCTCAGAAAAGGAAAGCCAAGTGTGATGGGCCTACTTCCCAATCCTGCTTTGTGACAGAACAACCACAATGAGGCCACTTCTAGAGTCAAGACATGAGTGTAACTGGCACTCTTGGCCGGGATTTAGTTTGCATTTCCTTTCTAATTCTTAATATTGTCCCCTAAACATGAGACAAGCATGTTTCAAGAGCTAATTAGGTTTTAAGTAGCACCAAGTTTTTAAGAAGTAGTATTGTGCTCTTCCTCTTTGGTCTTCAACTGACCTCCGAAACTAGAAATACTATTTCAGATTCTGTCCCACTGGCCACTGTGGTCAGGAATGGAAAGCACCTGCCAGGTGTTGCTTGAGATTGCCTTCACCAAAGGGAGACTGCGGCTTGGGTAGCCGTCCCCTCCCACCTCTGCCCTTCCACGCCCAAGTATCGAGCGCCGCCTGGGTGCGAAGCTTGGTAGTGGGCAAATGAGTGTGGCGTTGGAGCTTACACAATCACCCTCCTTACCCATTGGTCCGGTTTTACAAATGGAAAAACAAAAACCGGGGAGAGAATGGGCGCCGGTGGCTCAGGCATGTCATCCCAACAAGTCAGGAGTCGGAGATCGGAGAACCGCGGTTCGATCCCAGCCCAGACAGAAGAACCCGCGAGTCTCCGCAACCAACCTATAGAACCCCTAGAGATGAGAGCCAAAACGCTACGGACCGCGCTCTGAGTTCAACGCTCAACTCCGTTCACACTGAAGAGTGGGCTCAGGACAGCCGTGGGTAGCGGGCCCGGTGACCTTGAGGCTTACTGCCGTTGATTCCCGTGCCAACACTGCCCTGAAGGCACGGGTGACGCGCTGCAGCCGGAACTGGTCTCGGCTTGGAAGGCCCTGCGTACCCCACAGCCTCAACTAGGGGAGCGAGACGGGGGGCGGGGGGCGGGGGGCGGGGGGCGGGGGGCGGGGGGCGGGGAGCGAGACGGGGGGCGGGGGGCGGGGGGCGGGGGGCGGGGGGCGGGGGGCGGGGAGCGAGACGGGGGGCGGGGGGCGGGGGGCGGGGGGCGGGGGGCAGGCGGCCGTACCGACCGCGGCGTGCGGAAAGGGCTGCGCCGTTCTTCCGGCCGGCTTCCCCTCCAGCCAATCACCGCTCGAGGCCCGCCCCGCCGTTTCCGGAAGGAGCCGTCTCCTAGAGCAACCGCCATATCCGGTCATCTGAATTCGAGCGCGGGAGAGACGATGAGTAAAGGCCGTGCGGAAGCTGCGGCCGGAGGTAACCGCGGCGCTGGCGAGACCTGGAGGCGGACGGGCGAGGGATGGTTGAGTGACAGCCCTCCCCGCCTCGTCTCCCTCCGCAGCCCCTGGGATCCTCCTGAGGTACCTGCAGGAGCAGAACCGGCCCTACAGCGCTCAGGACATGTTCGGGAACCTGCAGAAGGAACATGGACTGGGCAAAACGGTGAGGACCCCTAACGAGGCCCTGGTTCTGCTCCCTCGAGCTTTCGCTGCTTGCCTTTCACTGGCAGGAGTCTCCCCCCCCCCCCCCCCCCCCCTGCCCAGGCCCAAACACTCCTAATTGCCCCGCCCTCCTCTCGTCAGGTGGTGGTGAAGGCGTTGGAGCAGCTGGCCCAACAAGGCAAAATCAAAGAGAAGTCGTACGGCAAGCAGAAGATCTATTTCGCTGATCAGGTGAGGAGAACCTGTGCAAGTGAACAGCTGTGCGAGAGCCTACATTGAACCAACTCCTACAGGTGGCACCCTAGTAATTCATCTATGCCATTAGAAGGGCCTCAGAGACATCTTTAAATCAAGATGTATCCTCCCTTCCTATGGCTCAAACTGATTTCGGATTATGGTGGACTATAGAAGATCCTAAATTGTTTCTGCCAAGATCCATTTCTGATTGGAAGCTCTTATTTCCCATTATCCAGACAGGCTGACCCTATCCTCTCTTAAGGAGTTTCCTTCCTCTTCCTCCCTAAGCCAGCGCATCAACTTTGGACTCTTCAGCCAGATTTCCACCTCAAGGTCTCTCAGACATCAATATCTGAATATCATCAGAGTTGAATGTCTCCCCTTCCCTCACCTCCACCCCAAATAAGTTTGGTTTATCTCCAGCATTCTTCAGGGTTAATGGAATCATTCTTCACCCAAACCAGAAACTTGGAAATAATTTTTTCAAGTCTGAACAGGCCTCAAATATAGCTGATTTTCTTTTTTTTTGGGTCCGGTCGTGGGGCCTGAACTCTGGGCCTGGGCGCTGTCCCTCAGCTTTTCAGCTCAAGGCTAGCGCTCTACCACTTGAGCCACAGCGTCACTTCCGGCTTTTTTCTTTTTGCTTATGTGGTGCTGAGGAATGGAACCCAGGGCCTCAGGCATGCAAGGCAAGCGCTCTACCACTGAGCCACCTTCCCAGCCCTAGCTGATTTTGTTTTTGTTTTACCAGTCCAGGGGCTTGAACTCAGGGCTTAGGCACTGTCCCTGAGATTGAACCACAGTGCCACTTCCGGATTTTTCTGTGAGGAATCGAACACAGGGTTTCATGCATGCTAGAATGCTAGAAACACTCTACCAGCTCTATAGCTGGGGAGGGGTGTGTGTGTGTGTGTGTGTGTGTGTGTGTGTGTGTGTGTGTGTGTGTGTGTGTGTGTGTGTGTGTGTGTGTGTGTGTGTGTGTGTGTGTGTGTGTGTGTGTGTGTGTGTGTGTGTGTGTGTGTGTGTGTGTGTGTGTGTCTGTGTGTGTGTGTCTGTGTGTGTTTTATTTTGTTGAGACTAGCACTGTGCCACTTGAGCCACAGGTCCATTTCTGTCTTTTTGGTGGTTAACTGGAGATAAGAGCTTGCCGGAGCTGCCTTCAAACCGTGATCTTCAGATCTCAGCCTCCTGAGTAAGTAGCTAGGATTAGGCACCAGCGCCCGACTGTGTTTGTGACACATGGTCTCACTCTGTCCTCCAGGCTGAACACTAGGATCCTCTTGTCTTAGCTTCCAAAATGCTGAGGTATGTGCCATCTCACCCAACTGGATTTT